GTAAAATAGATTCTGGTGAGAAAACTGTCTAGGACCATACAGTGAACCCACTTTCCTTGCTGTAGATTGAGCAATTGATTCAATATAATCTTTCCATTGGAAATGATTTTTCAGGAATCAGTAACACATTTCTAAATATCAAACAAGAAATAAACCTGTACTTCTTTTCAAAAGAGTGGGAGTCATGTGAACTGGACATATTTATAGAAAAGGCATCGGGAGACTGTCAGGGTGATAGGTTTGGTTTGTTTTTTTGTTGTTTTTTTTTACGGCATATCAACACCTCAATGGGTTATTTAATGCCAACAAAAATTTTATTGCTGGTAATATTTTGTTTTGTCAAAAATCTGTTTCTGGTACTATATTTCCTTCAAAATTGTATTGCTGGTAATAATAGCTGGGACCCTAACAGGTGCTACAACCCTTGGTCAGGGTGAACCTGGGAACACCAGCAATTAAGAGGTGGTTCCATGCTCCTCAAAACCTCCTGATCAGAGGCCTTGCTGCTGGGCGTAGTTTATCGTCTTACCCCGGATGAGGATGTAGTTTATCGTCTTACCCTGGACGCGGAAGTAGTTTAATGTCTTACCCAGGCATGGTGAGAGGAATGGGACTGAAGCCGAGATGCCAGATCAAAACCAATAACATTGCAGATTCTTCATTGTATTTTATCAAGAATCTTTAAACATATAGCAGAAGCACCAGACCTGATGTGGCAGCAATATTCAATGCCTGGACGAATGATACACTCATAGATGTGTAAGATAGATTCTGGTGAGAAATATTATCTAGCTTGATACAGTGAACCAAATTTCTGAGCAGCAGATGCTAGCATATATATATATGTGTTCAAAATTTAAAGGCTGGATTATATCACTCTCTACACTCACTAGAATTGCAGTCACTATATGTAATCGTTAAAATGTTTTAATTAATAAATCCTACCCGTGATATCAAAGTTTATATATTTGTCATTACCTATAATCCTGGATATATTCCTTCCTAACCTAGACAGTGGGGTTAAAATTCAATATAATGTACTTGAGCTCTATTAGTCTATCCCCTCCTCAAGGCAATACCTCTTCTTCGGGAAAGAAGATACAGTGTCAACCCGGATATAAGAGAGTTGTCGGGACCGGAGAAGAAGTCTCTTATATCCGGGTTTCTCTTATATCCGGGTTTGGTCTATTTTATATACATTAACACAGGCTCTAATTTGGGACCAGAGAAAATCTCTTATATCCGGGTTTCTCTTTTATCCGGGTTACACTGTACAGTTAATCCTAAGGCACCCTCAAAGGAGAACTGCCCACAGACCTTGAGTAATTTTCGTCCCTTGTCTATGCACACATGACTCTGCTTTAAACTCAGGCACCTTGTTCCATTTGAGTGGGCGTTTGTTATCTTTAGAGAAGTATTCATGTCTTATAGGTTAAGAAAAAAAAAAGAAAAAAAAAAACAAGGATGGGGGTGCATTATTATAGAAAAAGATTTTTAATATTTGACTTAAAAAATATGTTCCATTCTCCCCAGACAAGACCAACTAGTCAGGGTGGGGAGATTAACTGGCAACCCATCCCACGTCCTAACCAGATATACTGGACTTACAACAGTTGCTGAGGGAGTAAACTGCATGGGTGGGGAATTTACAGAGGGAAACTACACAAAAATTGACTTCTGTAGTTCAAACAGTTCTAGGTCATTGACAGCTACTACTGGGGCAGAGGGAGAAAGTTCAGCATATTAACTGACCCATTCTGGTAAAACAATTACAGTGTAACCCGGATATAAGAGAGATTTTCTCTGGTCCCAAAGTGTTCCCATACTTACCTAAACAAAATAGACCAAGCCCGGATATAAGAGAAACCCGGATATAAGAGACTTCTTCTCCGGTCCCCGACAACTCTCTTATATCCGGGTTACACTGTAGTAGTTTTATTGGTTATTCAAATTGTTTCATAGTACTAACCTGTCATGGCTGACAAAGAGTATAACAGCTTAATGTTTTTGGTGAGGAAAAAAAGCCGAGATGATGATTAACAAAGTCATCATCCAGGCAACTTTTAACAAGCCCAATCCTTGCTTTTGCCATAACAAAAATTAAATTTATTATTAAATAAATATATAAATAAATAAGAATAAAATAATCTAATAAAGTAACCATAAATTAACCTTAAAAACTCTTCTTTTTGTTGTCTCAGTTGTTTTTTTAATTTAATATACTTTTCTAATATATATATATTATATATATGAAGAAATATAGTCTTAAGATGTGTATATTTATGGGATAAAGTGCTCAATATCAGAGATAGAGTGTGTGTAAATATAAAAGTGAACATAACATAGAAGTCAACACTTAGAGGCGACAGTCTGTTTCATGCTAGACGCAATCGTCAGATGGCCTGATGATTGCATCTAGCATGAAACAAACTGTCGCTTCTAAGTGTTGACTTCTATGTTATGTTCACTTTTATATATATATATATATAGGGTGTCCATA